TATCCTAATGATTTTTGGCATAAAAGAAAAATCAATAATTTTGACCCATACAATGTTTTTTTGGCTATTGTTACAAATATACCCAAGCGACTTAAGACTGGTTTTGTGGTCCAGGGTCACATATATTATTATAAAAATCTTGTCAATTATTACTCCCATTATTACATTTCTTTTTTCATTACATGTTGCCCCAAAAACACATTAATATGCAAATTAGATGTAGTTTATAGATACATTACATATAATAAGAAAACCTGTTTATGGCCATTTTACACACATTTTGCATAAATAAAAATGGTATATCAAATCATTCTGTTATAACATAGTTGAGAATTATCTTTATACAAAGTTTGGTAAAAAAAAAAAAATCCTGAAAACTAAAAATGTATTGGTTAAAAAAAATCAATTGTTTTTGCCTATGCATGTTCATTCATGTCTTTTTATTTTTAATTTTTAAATTGAGTCCCGATAGTATAACTTATGAATGAAATATCATTTTTACATTTTTTAATGCTCTAAACAATGTAATGACATGAAAAAACAAATTTTTTCCTAAAATGTTTTGCCGGGTCTCAAGAGGTTAAAAGATATTAAAAAGAAGTGTTATTTTAAATTGCAACAATATTTCACAATATCACTGTTTTTATTTTTTAATTAAGTCATTTTTATAGTTTCAAGGTTGAATCGAAGGGTCTTATTTCAAAAACATTTAACACTTTTAACATTTAATCAACCCCAAGTTTTGAATTGTAGTGTTCATATGAACATTTAGAAGCTGAACACATCTGGGATCATTAATATTGGCAAAGCGAAAACCAGATAAAGTCCTCAATATATTTCCTGCATCGTTGCTGTTCTAGCCACCACGCACTATATTTAAATACACTGTCAGACTTCATCTAGCTCAAACAATCTTATATGCTCCTTTGCATATATCAACTGAGAACTGAATTTTAATGCTTAGGACAGTCAACTTTACACATGCGGCTAGCTGAGCTTCAGTCGGCACATTCTTCTCTTCTGAATTTAGCAAGCAAAATGCAAAGCACTTGCTAATTATGGATCGAGCAACTTGATGCTTGTTTTTTCTTCTTAAAGGCAAGTGGTGAAGAGCTACTTTGTGTTCTATTACTCACATATGACAAAAGCAATTATGATAAGCAATTATAACATTTACTACTGGTATTATCTACATAATAATATAGCCTAATTCTACTTTTATACTACTAAACAAGTTAAAGAATACAGATCCTCAAGGGACTATAAAAGTGAATGACAACATTAAATTGAGGTGACAATAACAAAAAACGATATGTATTTTGTTTGTTTAATCAGAGCAAATACAACTGAGAATACATGTGCCCACACAAAAGAGCTTTGTCCACAGGTGCACTTCTTTTCTTTCTCTTCCTATGAACTAACAACAGAAAAAAGCAGAAAAAGAGTAAGAGAATACGAGTAAGAGTGAGAGAGGGAGGTGGGAAAAGGCACTTTCGGTCAGTTCATTTGAGGCATGACGGTTTTGGCAGTTGCTCTGGGCAACATGCCATTGTTTACATGTGGGAGGGATTATAGCAGTTCTGAGCGACGCCATTGGCCGAGGTCAAGTTACACTCGATCAACAATGATTTTGAAATTTTGTGGTGAACCCAGCAGTGCTTCCAATTCACCTCACAGAGCCTGCTATGTAAATTAAATAACTTTATTAAGTGAATGCTATAGGGCCATGAAATGGCCAGAGTATTGGAAAAAATGGGTTCATGCAGATGTTCATGTGTCGCTTTTTAGATAGCAGCAGTTCATATATGCACCTTAGATGATTTCTCATTAATTATACACAAACGCTGTGGTTTAAATAATTTATTCTTTTCAAGGCAGAGTGTGAAAACTTCAGACATTGCGCAACAGCACAGGAAGACAGAAGTGGAGCAAAGGTAAGGGGAGGAGAGTACTTACAAATATCCCACGGACACTAACAACAAATAAAACACTTTCTACAACATCTGCGAACACACATCACTCATTCATCAAAAACAAATTGTAGGACATTCACAGATCTGCAAGAAATACCCACAGTATTTGTAATCTAATCTGATGGGTTCTCCAGTTGTCATCTAATTCAGTTTACCCACCAAGAGCACAGCCTGCCCGTAATCTGAACTTTGTGAAGTCCCTCATGACCTCATCGTCCCCTTTGACACACACAATGGGAGTCATCGTGACCTCTCGCTCCTCGGTTTGACCCAGCAGAGCAAAGACGTGAGAACTAATCAGATTAAAAAGAGGAGGAAAGGGAGGAGATCAGACTGAATCAGACACAACAAGAACCACTTTTTAATCACAGATGCCTCCTCTTTGATTTTGGTCCACTTTTCTCATTTTCTCTCTATGAACTCTTTGAGTTGGTGGTTTCATCAAGTGCTGACAGACAGGTTTGTGAGTAACAAGTGTTGAAAGTCCACTATATGACCAGTGGTGTGTGTGCACGAGTGGTCAGTATGAGGGGAGGATGATGACTGGATGACCTTCACATGTGCCTGTTGTTATTTTCCATAGGGGTCAGCCACTAAGAATTCACGGCATGCAAAGACCGCATGAGTCTCTTTTCCAAGTAAGCCCTTTTCTCTCCCTCATTCTCAATCTATATCACCACCTCCCTTTTTTTCCCTCGTTTATTAGTTTCTCTGCCACGGATTCTTTCATTCTCCATAACCACAAAACTTGTGATAGGAGATTGAAACCAAGTTCAAAAAGTGTGGCTATTTTAGGTGGTTTCCCCTCAGGATATCCTTTTGGACATGCTGTATATTTTCAAACTCTCATGAGCACATTACCACCCAACCACTGCTGAACCTGCGCACGCTTGTGCAGAAAGTTACCCGACAACTTTTGCAGGCTGTGCACACATGACGCTAATGCAGCATGAGCATAAACAATTCAAAGCCCTTTAGCAAGTAACTGATGAGCAACTGTATGGATTAGGAGCGAGAAGAACGAATCTTACATCGCATGGCTTATCAATCAACCGGCAGCACATGCAGACAGCTGTGAGGAACCGCTATGATGCCGTCTGAAACGGTGTCTCTGTGTGTGTGTGCCCCCTCAAAACACCAGGGAGAGAAAGAGAGAGAGAGAGTCTCTATTTCTGGATGCAGTAGATGTCTGGATGTCTGAACAAAGGAGACACAGACGAGACAGAGGAGAAAGACAGCAGCTGAGTCCATCATACACTGCAGCAGTGAGCAGACCCTCCGTCAGGATTAATACAAATCCACTAACACACATACGAACACTCCAGATGAGTACTGTATACGGACACACACACACACACACGCATACAGAATATTATACATACAGATATTCGCACAAGTATGTAGTAACACCACTGTAAATGGGACACAATATTTTTCACAGATTTTACAGCAGACATAATGTCAATAATACTTTCATCAAATATGTGCAAATCGAACACAACTGCACAAGCATAGTCCTCTAAACAGATTCTGGCAGATTCAAGCAAAGTGGAATATTGTAAAATTTTTCCAGATAAATGTTTAAATCGCCATGCGTTTAGATGAAGAAAACCTGTGTGCTAACTTTAGACCCTCCCACGAAGTGAAAAACTGTACTGAAAAAAACATGCTTATGGTACCCAAACTTAACCTCACAAACACACTCACACACGGCATGCAGCCAGACTCCAGAAATCTACTTACCTACAACTCCACAACTTCATCTGTTCGTTCCGTGCAATGACCATTCTTTATATTAATACAGAGATATCTAAAAAACATATACAACACATGCTCTGCTATGCTACTCTATTTCACGTCACTTTCTTTCTTTAAGCGTCAGTTAAATCCAGTTTCAACCTCCACCCTAAACAACAATGAGAGCGAGAGAGAGAGAGAGAGAGAGAGAGAGAGAGAGAGAGAGAGAGAGAGAGAGTGGTAGAAGCTAGTGAACGCTCCAGACACGAACGCTCAGTGAAAAGACCACTGCCACTTTTCTGCATACTCTTCCACCCCCCACCCTCCTCTGCTCCTCTCTCTTGCCCTCCCCTCTCAGAGACGCAGTCCAGTAGCAGAGCAGAAGCCATCTGGTACAGTTCAAAGTCCACTGCAACTCCAGCGAGTGTGCGTGTGTGAAACAGAGGAAGAAATAAAAGTTACTGTTTGCACTGTATTGAGTTTGCATCCCCGCAGTGTGTGGAGTTATGCGATTATATGTCTGATATATATGTCTGTGTTTTTTTGAGAAAGGACCAAAGGCAGTCCTGGCTTACTTGCTGCCGTAGGCGAGAAAATAAATTAGGGAAAAAGAAGAAATAAAACACTTTTAACAACTTAGTACTATATACAGTATGAGTTAGTTTAGTGGTACAACACAGCTTTCATTTAATGTGCATGGGGCATGATACTTCTGCATTTATTTGTTAATCTTCTTACATGTTACATTACATACATATTACATGATGTTAATCTTCTTACATGTTACATTACATACATATTACATGATGTTAATCTTCTTTTTAGGTACAACTGACAGTCATAAAAGTATAAAAAATAGCATGAAACTTACCATTCAAGGACAGCATAATTAAGATCTGAAAAAAAGGGAAAATCTGAGCTTTATTCAAATGAGCTTTATTCCAGAAAGACAGTATATTGGTTTATGCCACAAAGATAGATCATATACAGGATACATCAGTATACAGTATATAGTACATTATATACTTCAAAAGATCATAATCATGTTCTGACCATGCTCTGATTGACAGGATTAGATTAAACTTTCATTTCATTTCAAACTCCAAAAAATGTGAAAAATAATTTGAATCCGATGATCTGAATCTGAGACTGAAATTTTTCAACTTGCATATATTCACAAGGAACACAGCACCAATAAAGAGAACTTACCAACAGAAAATTTTGAAAATTTCCTCTTGAACATTTTGGTTCATGCAGGTCACAAATGTAAATTTTACAAATGTCTCTGTGTTGCACTTTTAGATATATGTATGCAAAGGTAAATTTGTCAAAACGCTCGCTTGTTTTCCCTCTTATCAAAGAATTTCCCTTTTCAATACAGATTTCAGATCACTATTTTAAAGACTCCAAACTTTTTGTGTGAACATTGATAACAGTCAAACAGAACATTGATACACATTGATTGTGTGAACATTGATACAGTCAAACAGAACCTATGAACTAGTGCTGGGCGGTATACCGGTTCATACCGAATACCGGTGTTTATTTTTGTGATGGTATGAATTTTTTAAATACCGCAATACTGCATGTCGTTAAAACAACGTTCGGAACGCGACACTGTTTGAAATGGGTCCCTTTTCACTGTCGCACTGTGGTGAGGGAACAGCTGTATGTGTTACTAAGCGTGAAATATGGTTAACACCCGGCCATGCATGAAAAAAAAATACCGTCATGTACCGTGAAACCGGTATAATTTTGAAAAATACCGCGATATTAATTTTTGGTCATACCGCCCAGCACTACTATGAACCTGCAAATGAGTTCATATTTAAGTTAGAGATTTCATACTCACCCCAATCAATCATGGTCCATCTTTGTCTTCAAATAGCATTATCATCTTCCCATCACATCCTCTCTGATCCAAATTATAATAGCTATGCCTAAAAAAGAAAAATAGTCAATAGTCTGTGTTGCTACACTTCTAAATTAGTGAGAAGTAGTTAAATGTTGGACACACATGATTGAATCTTCAAGAACTTTTTGTAACACTTTCTATGAAGCCGGTATTTATAAAACATTATAAGGGTATTCTTATGGCATTATAATGAATGTTTATAATGTATTATAAATACGGGCTTCATAGAAAGTGTTACCGAACTTTTTTTTGTTTTAGTTTTTTTTTGTGTGTTTTACCAGAGACCCCCCTCCCCCTCAAAAAAAAGTCCAGAATATGTGGAAACTTCTTGAATGCAGTTAAAAAAAAAGCATCCCAGGAGGTACCTCATGAAACTGGTTTAGCGAATGAATGTCCAGATTGCTCAAAACTTTAATTTTTGCAAATTGTAGCTACATTTAAGCAGCAAAATCATGAGATAGTTTTCATCTTTTCAACCTTTTTGGTCACTACATAATTCCCATTCTTCATGTGTTATTTTAAAGTTTTGATGACTATATAATTTTTCTAAAATGTGATCAAAATGTAGAGCTAGTCAGTAGCTATGTTTCCATCCACCTATTTTTATGCGCATTTAAACGTTTTGGAATATCGCATAAAAAAATGCCGGATAGAAATGCCAAGATGCGCATCAATTCTAAAAACGGGTATAAAAAAACTTGCGCACAAGTGCGCACAACTGAGTAGGATAAACTTTTTAACCGATAAGAAAAAATATGCATAAACTAGTGTGCCCAACTTTTTTCTTTTTGCACAGTTGTGGCCTAATGGATAGAGAGTCGGACTTGTAACCCGAAGGTCATGGGTTCGAGTCTCAGGTCCGGCAGGGATTGTAGGTGGGGGGAGTGAATGTACAGCACTCTCTTCCACCCTCAATACCACGACTGAGGTGAGACCCTTGAGCAAGGCACCGAACCCCCAACTGCTCCCCGGGCGCTGCAGCAAAAATGGCTGCCCACTGCTCCGGGTGTGTGTTCACGGTGTGTGTGTGCACTTGGATGGGTTAAAGGTGCTGTATGTAGGATTGACACAGAGGGCTGAACTAGGTATTGCAGTCCAAATTCAAAATATTGGAGAGGGTTTTTTTCACCCGGCCCCACCTCCTCAGACTTGACGCACAATAGCAGGTTGCCAGATTGACGACACCAACAGGAACGCGCACACTTGACGATGAATGAAATTAAATATGCTGTGTTTTCCGCCAACTGGCAACCCGGGGTCCCGAAATACAATTGGGTAAACTGGCAGTGGGCGGGTTTCACAAACCAAAACAGAGATCGACATTCCGGCCCGGAACGACTGTAGCATTGTTTTTCAGATAAACAAGTATGTTAACTTAGCATGTTTCTTAAACATCTGCAAACATATTATGGTATTTTTATGCTTTAGTAGAGTCAAAAACTTACATACAGCACCTTTAAATGCAGAGCACAAATTCCGAGTATGGGTCACCATACTTGGCCACACATCACTTCACTTTCTTTCTTTCCCTTTCACTATTGTCAGGACTAAGCATCATTACACATATAGCGCATATGGAGAATGAATGAGGACATCCTGAACTGTGTGTGTGTAGTTGAGGGCAATCTGAATGTTCTCTGGTGTCTGTCCTAGAAATCCCTCAATCTAATATATCCCACAGCACTGACACCAAGAGCGGATCTGTCTGCACATAATCTCCTCTTTTTTTCCTGACCCACATTTACGCATTTACATACTGTGCTGTCTATATGTACACATATATAGCATACAGTCTAACTATATGACGGCAGATAAGGCACATTTTCCACAGTCAAATACAGTAAACATGGTCACACCCAGAGCTTCTGTCAAGACCATCTCTGAACACAGTGCTGCCATTCACAGTTCTTTTGATCTGATAGGGTCTTTCATCGGGGCTGAATGGGTCATGTTTGCTGTATGCATAAAGCATCAGAATCCAGCACACAATAGAAATATTACAGCAATCTAGGATCTAAGAATTCATGCATCCCAAGACTAGCCAGCACTTCTGTATTTATAGACATATACAGAGCCATCATTGCTTTCACACATGAATGTATGGAGCCATGGCTCAGTGAGCCTCACTCAGAGAGGCACAGCTGTCCCCAGAGGCAGGCCGCCCTTAAAAACCTTTATGTGTGTATGTGTGGCAGAAAGAAAACTACAGAGTGCTATCTGGAAATAGCTCCAGTAATCCAGC